CCCCCGCCTCCTCATTCGCTCTCGCTGCTGCTTACTTCCTTCCGCATTTAGCAGAACAGCGGCAGAGGATTTCCACCCCTCCCAAACCGGCACCACTCGGCTGTACTACACCCACACGGCACTGCAGGCAATGCCTCACGCACACATACTCTCTCTCCCTCTCTCTCTCCCCCTCTCTCTCGCACATACACGTGAACACGAGTGAGAGACAGAGACAGAGGATCGGTGCGAGCAGTACGGCGCTTGCTAATCCGCGTGTAGGCGGCGGGGAGAGGGAGGGAGAAGGAAGAGAAGCGTGGCGTGGCGGGCTCGCATTGCTGTGCGCTCCTCTCCAAGGGATTGGCCCACTTCCTCTCCTCGGAAAACTTGAATTTTCCGCGCAACTTGAGCCACTCGCAGTGCAGCAGGAGCTCCCGTAGATGTTCGTACAGACATGGTACAGAGGTCAAATCCGCCACGGCCGAGCGACTCCCGCCTTCTCATACTCCCACAACCACCACCGCACCGCCACTACTACCACCACCACCACCACCACAAACACCGCCGCACCACCATCATCACAACCACCAGCAGCAGCCTTCGCCTTCGGGCATCCCGACGTGGTCAGCACGAGAGGCACAAGATGAGGGGAGGAAGGGGACTCCGCCACCGACTTGACGACGACAAGATATTTCGCGCCGAGTCCTTCATCCCCCAGACTTCTACCCCCTTCCCCCCCCCCTCCCCTTCCCAACGGCACGCCCGCGCTGACGCCGCGCGCTAAAAACCGAAAAGAAGAAAAATGCCAGTTCCTGATGGTAAGCTGGGCGCGAAGCTGCGGGCAGGAGAGGGGGGCACAATGGGCACGTTGTCGTCTCTCGCGGCTGAGCGGGCCGGACCGAGGGGCGTGGCGTGGCGTGGCGTGGCGTGGCGTGGCGTGGCGGGGCGGGGCGGGGTCGGGGCCCAGCACCTCACGGCAGGATGCAGGGAGCGGGGGTTGAGGGGGCCGCACAAAAGGCTTGGTTCAAGTTATGGACGGCCCCTTCCTTCCGCTCGACTTGGTTCAACGCACCGTCTACCTCTTCCACCCTCCCCCCTCGCCCTACACTCGCAAGGCCAGGCCCGCCCCTGCCATTTGTACCATATCCCATACCCAGCAGCAGCGCTCCTCAGCCGCCCACCTGCGGTACA